TGATCAAACATGCAATCCAGATGCATCGATCATGATTGGTGAATGGAATGCAAAAGTTATAAACAGTTTGTTTTTCTACCGGAGATATACTTTGGAGCAGAAGCGGTACGAATGTTTACCGTTGCTCTTGACATAATTTGCCCATGTCCTAGACACGAAGGGGACCTGGGTTTCTTCGCACCAGTCAGCAGCACTCTGAAGATGGCACACCTTGCTTGTTCAAAGTGAGGAGGACCCGAAGCACTGGCCGATGAAGATCCAGGATCACCGTCTTCAGGGAGAGCTCACCCCAAGGTAAAGGAAACCCAATCCTCACACCCGGACCCATAGGTCACATCGTGGAACGTGGAGAAAGGGTTGACGTTGACCAGCACGTCGTCTCGCGAGTTTCCACATGGGTGCGCACGGCGGCAGTGTCCAGGCATCAAAGGACGCGTGGCATCGGGTCACGCTGAGGCACAAGACCGCTTTCAAGTGTGGACGAGCAAGGCTGTCACTTTGAGGACGAAGGCGTGCCTGACTTGGCCATATTATTTTCAACAGTCCCGTGTGCGTGTGAAAGTTGGACACTGAATAAGGGAGACCAAGGGAAAACCGATGTGTTTGAACTATGCTGCTGGCTAAGAGTACTGGAAGTGCCACAAGAGCAGGCAAACCTTCCTGGAAGAAGTGCGGCCAGACTGCTCCTTAGGGGTAAGGATGGCGAGACCGCATCTTACAAATTTTGGACATGTTGTCAAGAGATACGAACCCATGGGAAAGGACACCGCGCTTGGTAAAGTGGAGGGGCAGCAAAAGAGGGTAAGGGCCTCGACAGGACAGCTCCCCAGGGGCTACAGCCACGGCTCCAGCACAGGAAGGGTGGGGGTGGGGGTGGCCCAGGGCAGGTCCGTGCCTGCTTCCTCTGTTGTAAAGGGTGGGAGCCGACTCCACTCCACAGCATCCAACAAGAACCCTCAGAGGAAGTCTTTTCTCCAACAGGAGGTGGGCCCGGCTCAGGAGTCCTATCCCCCCACCATCAGTGCCACACATCTGTGGCGCTTTGTTACAGAGCTGCTGCCAGGGGACAGCAAGAGACCCCTCCTGTTGGGGTGACCAAGGCCCTAACTTTGTTCTATCCCCTTGCCACCGGGGGACGTTTTAAGAGGACTCAGAAAGTACCCCCACCCCACTGAAAAGTCCCCAAGTCAGAGAGACCTGGACATCAGGACTGCCCTTGACCTCGGGAGCTCGTTCTCCACCAGGCCCCTGCCCACCCCTCAGCGGGGTCCACAATTGTCCGCAAGCTCAAAGCTGCAGCAGTGCAGTAGAGGCCAAAGCAGACGGAGCAACCTGATGCCGGGGTCTGGGGAACACCTGCATGTGACCCCAAGGTCCAAACAAGCCCAGGGCCCCCACGCCATGGAGATAAGCCAAGACTCCTATGGAGTCCCTCCCCTGGCCACCAGGGTGACAGGAGTCCCGCCACCTCAGGGCCTCTCATCGGAGCAAGGTTCCCTAGGAGGAGAAATAGGTTCACCCAACCTGCTGTCCTATACCAACTGCTGGCCATTAGCTAGTCCTCAGGAAAAGCATGATTCAGACCCTGAAAACACCTCCTGGTCAGAAACACAGGCCAAGACCGCCCAACAGGGCAGGTGACAATTGTCTAGTGGTGAGGGCCCAGCCACTTCTACCATCTGCTCCCAAACCCCGCAACCCGTCCTCCACCCCCACCCCCATTAAAATGCATGTGGGGCTCAACCCCAAGCTAGACCCTTTATCCCACCACCCCTCCGGCAGAGCTAACCCCCCACCCCTACCCTCCAGGACATACCAGCTCCTGTCCAGAGAAGGGGTTCCAAGACTGGAGCGGGGAGAGCAAGTCCAACACGAATAGAGCACGGCGGGGATGGTCGGCCCAGGGGCCAGGCAGGCCTTCTGAGCCCTCCTTGCAGGGAGTGGAGAAGGGGCAGGGCTGGGCCTCAGCTCAGGACATGCCCAGGGAATTTCCCAGGTTTCTGCTCCACTGAAGGAAGGACTGAGCAAAGGGGACACACAACCCAGTGGGAGAACATTCCAGAAATTCACTGGCTACAGCGAGGGCTGGTGGTGAAGGGATATCCTAAACAGTCATTGCAGGTTACCGGACAGAAAGGGACATGCAGCGCGCAGCCCCCCAGCCCGTCACCCAGCCGCAGGAGAGCGAAGGCGAAGGCAGGGAAGATCAGGCGCTGAACAGAGCCCTGCACTGCCACGAGGGGTGGGGGAGTGCCCAGGAGACAAGAGCAGCAGGCTCAGCCAGGCCCCATCTTTGCCTGCCCGGTGCACCCAGCAGTGCCAGTTACTGCCCTCTCTCGCTTCATGCGGCATCATCGTGTCCACTGCCCTTGGGGTCCAGCAGCCGGAGCCAGGCCCCATACACCGGTTCGGCCAGGCTACTCTGAACCCAACCCAGCACAGCGGCCCTGCGGGATGCAGACTGCCCGCCCCTCCTCCCACCCCCACCCCATTACCTTTTTGCCACTTCTATCCCCCTGGGAGCAGCGGGCAGGCTCGAGTAGAACAGTCTAACCACCACACGCCAGGTGCTCTTCCGCTGGAGTAGGCAGATCACACTGGCACTGTAATACACATCTGCTGTTTACTTAACCTTCGACCTGAATGGGGTAGCCAGTGTCCGACTTGCTAAACTGGGCCCGGATAAAGAGGCCTAGGTTGGAGGCTGCACCCTGCTGATGGCGCAGCTCTGCCCGCTCCCATTGGCACCAGGGGGCATTCCTCTCCTCCAGCTGAAAAAAGGGTGCGTCCAGGTGCCAAGGCAATGGCAGAGGACATGGGCCAGCAGGCAGACACGGGCGGGAAAAGCAGAGTCTCTGCCCGACCATGTGCCGCGCTGTTCACAGTGGGGATCCCAGACCTGGCGCTTCCTTCTCTGGGTTAGGAACAGAACCCTGGTCATCCTCCCAGACTTATGAACAACTCCGGGACGGGACCGTGCCAGTCCGATCTGCAGTGTCCCCTGCTGCCCCACAAGGCCCAGCACCGGCTGATGATGCAGACCCCGGGCCTGTTTCGGTAGGTTGAGGGGCACCCCTCACTTTCTTTTCACAGCGCTCTAGCTCTCGGCTAGAACAAGTGGCAGGAAGAGACAGATGCCCGCCCCACCTCTCTGCCCGGTCCGCGAGGGGCACTGCGGATGTGACAGATGGCGGAAGATGGGCTGGAGGTGGCATGCCATCTTGGGAGGCACGCGGGACCCTGAGACGGCCCGTCCTTGCCTGTTCCCTGAGTGGCTGACCTGTGCTGACACTTCCCCAAGCAGGAGCAACCGCCCCGCACGTCACAGGCTGGCACGTGTACCACCAGGTGCACATGCCCACAGAAAGGCCACAGCGCCACTCTCGCCCGCTGGCCACCACAGGGCGTGTCCGGTCAGGCCGGGCTCAGTCTCCGCACCCTGGAGCCTCAGGGCAGGGGTTCACACTTGGGCCGGGCCCTCACCACTTCCTGCATGGCATGATAGCAATCTGCTGAGCTGGACCTGCGGAGTGGATGGATGGCTGAGGTGGTCCAGTCCTGGCCCAATGGCCGTCACTAATGAGCTCAGTCTGAAGGATGCTGGCTGGCGCGTGGACACCAATAAAAGCAGGTAGGAGTTCAAAGAGCAAGTGATCTTTCCTTTTTGAAGTTGGCTGTACACTGGTGGGACGCTACAGCGCTGTGCTTACAGAAACCCACACGAGGATATGCCAACCACGCATCCAAAGGCGGGGCTGCCGCTCAGTCTCCAATTAGACAGTCCAGTGCTGACCAGCACTCACTTTGATGAAACTGGCGCTCTGGAGTGATTAGCACACAACCTGTTCCACCTCGCCTTTCTCTTTGAAGCTGGGGGCAAAAAGCAAATGGACGGAACCCTTGATTTCAAAGCCCAAAGCCCCAGCAAAGGATCTGTCCAACCGGCCCTGAGAGTTTGTCCTGGCCACTCTGAGCTGCCCTTCAGCCACCAGTCTCAGAGGGTCCTGGTCTTGTGAGGGAGATGAGACCCCTGGGGCAGGTTTCACTAGTGGGAAGTGAAACCGTGGGCCAATTAGACACTCAAGGGTGGTGAGGGTAAGCACACCTCTGGAAGAGAGCGATTTCTCCCTACACACCAAAGTCACCTTGAGAAACTTTGGGGATCTTAACACCCCGCTGTGAGAGCCCCGGCCCTGGGAGCGGCCATTAAACCACAGCAGAGTGGACACTGCCCAGTTCTGTGCAGCCTGGGCAGCCCCTTCAGGCATTAACGCCCCTCTTTCCTACCCAGAGTTTGGCCCAGGGCTCTGGCCCTCGTGGTTGGAGAAAGAGAGCCAGAGTCGGGGATAACTACTGCTCAGGGCCTCTGAACTCCACCTACAAGCTGGCCAATCAGTAGGCTTCACAAGTGGAGAAGCAGTCACTCAATCGGAAGAGCTGACCACTGGACACAAGAGAGAAGCACTCACTCTCCTTAACCCGAGGGGTCTGCACCGGGCACGTCGTCTGCTCTCCAGGAGCAGCTGCCTAGAAGCGAGCCAGTGATGCCGACCCACTCCCAGCTGCAGTCCCCACGTGCAGGTGTGTGCATGCCTAAGGCTCCTCTGCCCGCAGGCCTGTCCACAGTGGGGCCAAAGAGCAGGTGCCCGGCCGGTCTGGGGCCCAGGCTCCATGGAGAACACTTCCGCAGGCGGTGCTTGCCCAGCGAGCATTCAAGCCCACCCGCACCCGCACCCCCACCCCGAGACAGACCAGCCACACCTGCTACCTGGACACAGACGTAAATAAATGCAACGCCCTGCGGTGGCTTCTCCTTGCTCACTCTGGGCGACTTTTAATCGTTCACGGTGGACGTTAACGAAGGCAGAGGCGTCCATGGGGTCTAACAATTCTCTGGCTCAGGAGGAGAGAGCATTCCCCGCAATGCACAAATAAAAACGGAACAAAAACGTCAAAGGGAAAAGAAAGGAAAGCAAAACAAAACAAAGAAAATAAAAGGATGTTTGAAAGAAATATAAACCAAAAAAATTTATTGGTGTTGACAAAAATACGTAATACAAAAAACAAACCACCACAACACAACGGAAATGAAAACAGCCCCCCCACGCGCTGCCCCGCGTGTGGTACTGACGGCTGAGTCCCGAGCTGGGCAGCTAGTTCATCAGGACCTCCATCTGCACCAGCCTCGCGTTGGTGTCCCCAGACGTCCGGTAGGGTATCATCCCGGCAAAGGTGATCAGGGCTCGGGCTTGGCTGCGGAGTTGCTGAGAGAAGGGCGGGGCAGGGGAGAAAACAGGTGCCTCGAAGTCAGAGCAGGGCTGACGGTGGCCACCGCGGGCCTCATGCTCTAACCCTTGGTGGCAGGCAGACTCCTGTGGGGCTGACTCTCCACCGCACGTCCTCCCAGCCTGCTGCAGCCATTTAGCCTGGCCTACCAGGCCCCGGTGCCAGCAGACGGCAAAGCCCATCAACCGGCACACGGGTTTTCCAAGCAAGCGGTTCTGGCCCGACATGCTTAGCTAGGCCTGACCCAGTTCTGGGCTTCAAAACTGTCGACTGCACTGACCTCCACCGCTGCCCCCGCTGGCTTGGTTCCAGCTGCATCTGTGGGCTCTGGGCTCCCAACACCAACCACCAGCTACCGCTGTGACCTGGGTAGCCCCACTGCCCTCTTTCCTCGGTGTCTTCCCCTCTGCCTTCCATTCCTTCCACCCCACTTCCTGATCCAAGTGCCTGGCCCTCTTTTCCCAGGCACATGAATTATGGCATGGGTCCAAGAGGGAAAAAGACAGCCCTAGGATTTAAACCCCATGTTTCCAACAAGGGGCGCTGAGTCAGCACCGACTTGATGACACGGCGTGTAGTTTCCAACAACAGAACAAAGACAACCTCCTCTGAGACTCCTAGTGACCACTGACTCAGCAGACAACTGCCCACAATGTCCAAGTCACTTCAGACGACTGCCTGGAGAGGGGCACTGCCCTCCTGAAGCGCAGAGGCTGCGTATGCCACGCGTCTACACGGACCCTCCAGGGCTTTTACGGGAGATTCCGGATCTGCCACTGATCAAGCCTGATAAAGGCGCTCCCTGATGGTCAGAGCTCAGAAAGCAGCTGCCCACTCACAAAGGGCGGGAGCACCCACGGAATCAAGCACAAACGGTGGCCCCCTGTGAGCAGGGGCACCGGGCTCAGCCCGGCCCATTTCCCCTGTGGCCTGAGACCAGCAAGTCCTTTCGGGCTCAACGAGCTGTCTGGTAAGGCCGCAGAGGCCTTGGCCAGGGGGATGGGGGGATGGGGAGCAGATCTTAAGGGTGGCCTCCAGGACACAGGGATCTTACAGAGTCGCGGTCCTCGATGACGTGCTGGGGCCTGGATGCCGAGGTTGGACTTGTTCCCTTCAGTCTCTTAAACTGTGTGAACAAGATGTTCATGGTGGCCAGAAGCACCTCCGAGAGGTTGTGCCTGATCTGCAGAGAAAGACACGCCCGTAAGGAAAGAGAGCCGAGGCCCCAGGGTTAACAACAGGAGGAGGCAGTGCGGGCCACTGCCAGGTGGGCCTGGCCCTACCACGTCCCCAACCTATCACCAGAAAGAGGTGGAGGGCACTCAAAGATCAAGAGTGAGGGCTCGCCCCGGGCAGCGCTAACGCGCCCTCTCTTCTCCAAGGCAGGAGTGAGTCAACAGCCCAGCATGTGGGCTCACACTGGCCAGAGTGAGTGACCAGCATCTGGACTTGCACGTCAACAGGTGAGGGAGCACGTCCCATTCCTCCACAGACCGTCTGACAAGCCGGCCACCTCAGTGGGGTCTCTAGACACAATGACTGAGAACTAGAGGAAGGCAGGAAAGACGTGGACAGTGGCTGGGGGCTTGCAGTGTCCTAGTTACCACCTGGCCGGACCCATGTGCGAAGCTGGCCTTATTGCCGCCTCTGAAATCAAAGGCCTCTGTTTTACAGGTACATTCCAGAACCAGGCAGTGGGCCCGAAGGGCTTGTGGTTCTAGAGCAAGAGTGTCCCTGGGGCCACACCTGGGAATGGCCAGGGGAGACCTGGTCGGTGCCCCATCAGGATACCAGAAGCCCTAGGGGTGGGGGCCTGGGTGTGAGGGTTTGCCAAGCTTTCCTGGTGGTCCAGCATGCACCCAGCTGAGCATGGGGTGAGGCGGTGGAGGTGTGAGGTGCCTCTGCAGAAGGACGGGGTCCTGGGATGGCCCGTTTCCCAGAGCCACTGCGCTGGCGGCTTGACACTCAACAGTTGAGCGCCCAGAGCAAGTGGATCGTGCAAAGATCAAACTAGACCTCCCGTTCCTCCCAAGGACATGCCTGACACGCCAGCCTGCAGGTCAGGACTGAGGACACCACAGGAACCCCAGCCCGGGCTCGGAAGCGAGAGCAGTGTAGAAACCGAGTCTCCAGGGCCGCGGTCACTAGAGCGCTCAGGAAGACAAAGCTCGTGCCAGAAGCGGGGCACAAGGGACCTCGACTCAGCAAGAAGAGCACTCACCTCATCGCTGAAGTTCCGGAAGGCAGCCACCCTCTCCTCCACGCTTTCCTGATGCAGGGGCACCAGCTTCAAGCGATCGATGATCTGTTCAGAACAAACACAAACCCCGCCAAGCCCCTGTGACACAGAGCATCAGATCACCCCATCAACAGTGGCCTCACCAGCCCACACACGGCTTCGGCAATTCCATTCTGAGCCTCGTTTCCCGGCGTTGTTCAAGTTACCTTGAAGACCAGCTTGACTTTTAGATCAAGGGGGCAGGAATTTTACACCAGGATAAGGGGACGCTCCACACAGTAGGCCCCTTAAATTCCAAGGATGTGCTCATCTGTCCTCACGGGCACACTGGTGGCACGCCCTTTGCTTTACATGAGCTGCAGTTGGAGCTCTGCGTCTCGTATTAGGGCACGTATTAGCATGAGCTTCACACACCATCCCGGGAACTTACATCAAAGGCTCTGTCCACGTGACCACTATGATACTCGTCGAAGAACGTGATCAAGTCCAGGAGAAGGTAGAAGGTGGAGCCCACCAGTTTATTGGCGCTGACCCCTTGAGCCCTGTACCTGGAGGACAGAAAGGGGGCGGGGACATGGTCGGAGCTCCAGCACCACCTAAAGGCAGGCTAGAATTCAAAAAGCATCACAGCCTCTCGGCCCTGGGTGAGGGGCTTGGGGGACAGACAGCTCTGCTTGTTTTGAAACAGTGCCGTGTCTCTTGGTGGCCTGCACACGGATCCACTCACACTTGGTAGATCATGGCTCCCAGCCTCCGCCACCACTGTAGCCCCAATTCTCTGGGGACGGTGGGGGTGCCGACGGGCAGAGTCAGCAGCTGTCCTGGGGGTATCTGCAAATGGCGACATCCCATCTGCCAGAGAATGTCACCGGGGAGAGCACCCCTAATCAGTGTTCTCCAGGTCACTTGGCTGCAAGTATCTTCCGAGGGTGCAACCAGGGAGTGAAGTGGAGAGTGTGCTTACTCAGCTGACTCACCGGGGAGCAGGGTACATCTGAGTGGTGCCTCTGGGCCACTCAGAATTCTCCATCCATCCATGCCTTCACCCATCCATCCATGCATACCTTCACCCATCCATCCATCCATCCATCCATACCTTCACCCATCCATCCATGCCTTCATCCATCCATGCATGCATACCTTCATCCATCCATCCATCCATCCATCCATCCATCCATCCATCCATCCATCCATCCATCCATGCCTTCACCCATCCATGCATGCCTTCATCCAGCCATCCATGCCTTCATCCCTCCCTCCCTCCATGCCTTCACCATCCACCCACCTACCCATCCACTCTCCATCCGTAACTTTTTACCACCTGGCCTTTGAAAGGGCTGACAAATGTGTATCTACTGTACGTTTCGGGAACCAGAGGGACTAATCCCTGGAGGAGGGTTGCCTGCTTGATGAATAGACGGTCAGTGAAAAAGACAAAGACCCCCATGAGCCGCACAATAACCAGAGAGGAGCACACAGGACTGGGCGGTTGTTTCCTTCCGTTGCCCACAGAGCTGCGCTCAGTGGGGAAAGCTCAGCAATACTCAACAACAACGTGGTGAGAGAGGGGGAGAACATGGGGAAGATGTGTTATTTACTGCTACAGCTCGGGTGCTGCCCCAGAGTGTCTGATAGCGGTGCCCTCTTGTGTGAAGCGCAGGTTTCAGAGCCTGCTCTTCGGAGCAGCCCTCAGGATAAAATGATTGACGTTTCATAGAACCCTCAGAGGCTGGGAGGAGGGTCTGGGGCCCAGTGAAGCGGGAAGGATGTAGAGAACAGACAGAGAGGTGGGAGTGAGCACCTGGGCCAACACTCGCATTTTCTAGAGGAAGTCCAGAGGGAAGGCTTGTGGCTTGTGCCCACCGAGTCACACAGCCGGGTCACTTCTGAAAATCCAGCCAACAGACTGGGGTCAGCGAGGACCCACGAGGTGGCATAAGCACTCTGTTGTTTGTTCTTATCAAGGTCATCATTTTGAGATGCTCCTAAAATCGTGGTTCATTCCACAGCCCTTCTGGAAACACCCACCCCCCAGCCTAACGCAGTCACATCAGTGTGAAACCACAGGGAGCGCCCGGCTCAGTCTGGAGCGGCCCCTGGCCCTCGGGGTCCCACAGGGCCAGCCCCTGGCCTCACCGTTCAGCGATGGCGAGTGCCATGTTCTTCAGCCTCTCTTTGTTGGACTGGGGGGCGCTGATCTGGGGGACAACAGGACTGAGCAACTTGTTCATCAGCTCCAGCACTTTGTCAGGATTCTGTTCAAGAAATCAATGGGGGGGGAACCATGTAAATATGTCAACATGAGGAGGAATGTTCTGGGGTGATGGATGGGGATGTTCTAGAGCTTAACCTAGGTAGTGTTTCCAGACAAAATTCATCCAGCTGTATCCTTAAAAACTGCACACTGTTCTGTAAGCTAATTATACCCCAATCAAAATGCTAAGCAATTTTAGACAAGTTTTTAGTTAAAAAAAAAAAACTAAACACAAAACCCCATAAACTATACCCCATCTTTGCTCATTCCCACTTGATGGAAGGAATGAAATGTTCCAGGCTGCACAATCTTGATCAGCCATCCTGTGGTCCACGGAGAGACACCACCACTGGCTTCCTCAGCTCAGCGTGATGCACACTGATCCAGCTGCCGCCCAAGACCAGTTCAGTCCTGCAGGGTAGCCTTCCACACACTGCTCTGGCCAGAAAGGCCTCCTGGGCACCAGTGAGAACTCACCAGACCTTGAGGTTGGCAGCTCAGTGCAGAGCCCACTATGCCACCAGGGTTCCTATGGGCATAACCAAGGCTACCAATTGGGAATTCCACCCTGAGTGGCCTGTTAACCATCTGAGCACTGGGAGAAAATGCCCCCCAAACTCGAAGCCAACCTCACTGCCACTGAGCAACTCTAGCACCGAGCGGCCCTGAAGGGCAGGTGGAGCTGCCCTTGGGGGCTGAAGGTGCATGGTGATGAAAGCAGACAGCTGCATCTTCCTCTCACAGTTTAGCCAGTGGGTTCAAACCACTGACCTTGCCCCTTGGTACACCCTTGCCAAGTATTGGTGTATTTAATACCAAAGGGCAGGTGCGTTCAGTGCAGGAGGAAAAAGGCCCGCCTTACCTTGGCAAGGTCATACAGCTTTGCTGCTTCTTCAAACAGGCCTTTATTTTCTGCCACGGAAGCAACTTTGTTGATAATAGGCTTTGTGTCACTGGTAAACTTATCTATGACTCCAGGCTGGCAGGACACAGGGGAGGGGGAGGAAGAGAGAGAGAAGGGAGGGCGGGGCTCAGAGCTGCTGTTTTCAGCCCAGAGATGCAACTGGATGCTGAAAGACCCTCCAGCTGAAAGCACTTGCCCTGAGGGTGCAGACATTTCCTATGGGATTCGACTACTGTCCTACAGGCATTAAAGACAATCCCCACACCTCCAACTGCGGCCAGACGGTAGGAGAGTTCACATCGGCCTTGGGAAGGAGAGTCAAGGGCAGAGCACGTGCCTGCCACCTCGGAGGGCCACGCGGCTTCTCAAGCAGGCAGGGCTGGATGGACTGCGCTGACCTCATCCCACCGCACAGGAGGGAGGCAGCCGAGAGGAGCCGGGAGGTGGGCGCTGGGGCCAAATTCCAGCGCCACAGGAACTTGTTTGTTTCCTCCACAGGAAAACCACGCTCCCACCTTGTTGGGTCGCTGTGGGAGGCGATTAGGAATCCCCGGGAAGAGCCCATCACAGGGCCTGCCAGGCCGGAGCCTGTGGGCAGCATCACGCCCCCTCGCTGGGGACAGAGAAGAAGCGGACAGCGTCCCCCAGAGGGACGAGTGCCTTTCCCGAGGCCACAGGAGAACGCCTCCGGCGGGGCTGGGCACCACGGGCCTCAGGGCACAGCGGCACTTCTGGTGGTGGTGTACAGTTCTGGGCCCTCAGAAGCGAACTTTTCCACCTGGGGAGGGGTGCAGCACCCACTCCCCTTGCCCCGGGTATTTTCTGAGCTGACCATGGCAGAAACACAGCCCCTTGGCTCAGAGAACAAGAGGTGTGTGAACAGGTGAGTGTTCTGAGCGTAGTGTTTCATAAAGCATGGAAGCATCTGTGTAATCAAGGCTACCACCTGGGGCCTGTCATCGTCACTCCGGGTCTCTGGACAGGTGCAGCCCAGGGGCAGACACACGTGTCTCAAGGGAGCGCAGCACCCACCTTTCTACTCCCATCATGCTCCAGCTTCCCCAGAATCATATCGAACTGCAGAGACAGAGAGAGGTCACTCCATTAGCCGGGCAAGCAGCAGGAATGGGGCAGGTGGGGGATGTCTTACACAGAGGAGAGAACAGTAGCATGTGGTTTGTTAGAAACTGAAGCAGACTTGGAATCACCTGGCCATACGCCCTGCCCACATTGAAACCCAGGGGCAGGACAACAGACAACGGGCGGACGGACGGACACCAACGTACCTCGCGACTCTCTATCACCAGTTCGCTCACACAGCGCAAAAACATGCTTTCCCCCTGGCCGTCTTTCTCGTCCCTGTGAGGGCAGGGGCACTCGGTTTCTGACAGTCCTCTGCAGACGGCAGACACCAAGCCGAGCGGAGGCAGTGGCGAGCAGTTTACCTGAGGAAGTAGAAGTACTGGAGGGCTTCCCGCGGGTCCGTGGACTCAAACTTGCGCGTGTAGAGCATGAGCATCCGCACCAAGTTGAGCCGCCGCATGCAAGGAGGGTCTCCGGGCTCGTGGCTGACTGCACCAGGGAAGGAGGCGGGGGACAGGAACAGGTCACAACTACAATGCCCCTTTGACCCTCACAGCCCAGGAACCACCGACACGGAGTTGGAAGACCACCGGCAGTGTGGACGCCTGCAGCACAGCTCACCTCTCACACCCCGCCCTCAATGTCCTCCTGTGTACAGAGTGCCCGAAATCTCTCACTGGAAGATGGGGACCACGTGCTGTGGTAATCTTACTGCTCTTACCAGAAACCTTGCCTCACCCACTCTGTCTGGACCTCCCAGAGACGGCTGGGAGGCACGGAGGCCAATGTCTTAATGGAAACATGACCCAGGCCCCAGATAGCTGCTCATGTCTGTTCTCCAGGCAGCTAGACCGCTGACAACACACGCACTTGGTTCAACAGCACCACACACACACACACTTGACGTAGCACTTTGTATCACGAACAGGCCAGGGAATGTTAGTCAGGGCAAGAGCCAGAGCACTAACACTAATCATCCCAGCATCCAACGGCCTACGTGCTTGAAGACACATGCTGCTGTGTGTCCTGAGCCCTGTCGGCTGCCCAGTGGGTGAGGTGTGGGCCCTCCTGCCAGCCCGCCCCAGCACTCACGGAGCTGCGCGCTCTGCCCTGAGGACTTCAGGAGCAGCTTCAGCTCAAGGAGCACCAGGGCCACGTGGACAGCGTGGCAGCGCAGCCGCTCCATGCGGAAGAGGAAGGCGATGGCGGCTTCGAACTGGGCGGTCAGGAAGAGGACTTGGAAGTACAGGAAGGGCTGCTGGTTCACGGTGAAGTGGGACTCTCCTGGAAGAAGGGACGACGGAAGTGGCCGGCCTCAGCCTAAAGGGCCTGCTGGGGGCGGTGCCAGCACCAGCACAGGCCCCTGGTTACGGGGCACCACCACCCTAAGTGTGACCAGGCACGGTGGCCTCCTCCCAACACCACTGGCAAGTGGGGCGAATGCTGTGGGGCCCAAACTGCCCCATGTGAGAGAGAGAAGCAGACCCCGAGCTGGCTGTGAAGGAGAAAAGGGGCGATTTCTAAGGCGCTACGGCCCACCCACATTCACAGCCGTCTGAACTCAACGACTGCTGACGGCGAGTTGGAATCTTGGATTCTTTTCTCCCAAGATCTTGGAAGCAACGAGGGGGCCCACCTACACGCAGGGCAGGAGAACAGCTGGGGGGTCTTCTCCTCGTCTCACATGAGCACAGCTCGGAGAATGGGGGACGCAGTGTGGGACCCTCCTTCTGAGGCACACACAGTTCTTACGGCCATGCGGCCTTTCCTCTGAGAATGGTCTCTGCTATGGTCTTAAGGGTCACGGGGCTCTGAGGGAGAGACAGAGTTCAAGAGGAAGGCTATTCCCGGGGACATCTGTGTGGTCACCTCTGGGGACTCTGTCCAGGGGGTCTTACCATAGTCCTCCAGCAACTGCTTCTGGAGCTGTGAGAGGCTGAGTCTGTCTTGCGGGGCGCTGGTGCCGTCATCATCAAAGCACACTTGGTTCAACTAAACCCCAGAGAGAGACACGCATTGGCCCAGGCCTTCCAGCAGCCGGGCACAGTGCCCCCGAGAGCCGAGGGTGCGCGCCGCTGTGCTGACTGGCTGGGATGACATAACCAAAACGGGGCCAGGAAACGGGAGACTCGCTGGCGGCCAGCACAGGGCGCAGAGCACACACAGGGGCAGAGGGGAGCGGGGCCTGCCTTCAGCCACAGGTAGTCCTCAGTCTTGTCCGCCACTTCACTCTGGTTGTCGGCGACGTCGCATCTGCCGATGATGCAGTACACGGCCCGCTTGTAGGGGTCCGTGTTGTTCCGGAGAGCCCGGCGGTAGTGCAGTCGCAGCTTGTTCTCAGTAGCTGGGGACAATCTAAGGACACAGGGACAGGCCACATCACAGACAGCCCTGCTCCCGAGAGATCCGTGAGGACATCGGAAAGCACACAGCCTCCCTTCATCCAGGGGGACAGGGCTGTCTTTGCCCGTGCCCCTCAATGCCAGCACAGCCTGAGAGGGGCCCTTCTCTAGCCCCTAGGGCTGCTCCGCCAAGCAGGGGCAGGTCGGAGGCAAGAATGAACAGCAGCCGTCCAGCACGGACTGCAGGGCTCCCTCTGGAAACTGCACCCCACTCCGGATCCAGACAAATGACTGCCCCTCGGTCTTGGGAAAGCCCAAGGCATGAAAGCACCCCCAGGTTGTTGCAGGTATGACCAGAGAAGCTACCGCCACTCCTCCCATACCCAGATTGAACTGGGCTGAGAGGTGAACTGAAGTCCAAGGGCAGTAACAGAACCCAGAGCAAGAGCTCCTGAAAGGCAAGCGGGCAGACGAGAAGCACTTCTGAACATCCACATCAGAACTTCTAACTCCAGCGGTGGGGCCAGGATGAGCAGGACGGCACAGAGGGGCCGCAGTCTCTTGAGCAGAATGCCATGACACAGGGAGCCCACTCTGTAAGGCGTCCTTGAGGGTGGGCGAGGTCCTGCATGGTGCTCCGGCACAGCCTGAGCTCGGCTCTGCCAAGGAGAATCCCAGGCCTCTGCGTGGGGCGGGGCTCTCTGTGAGGGCGCCTATGCCAGTTTCAACAGTGCTCCTCACTTTCTAACAGACCCTTGCCCCCGGGCTGGCGACTATTGGGCGCCCGGCGCAGCGGTCAACAAACAGTATGCCAAGGAGCGCCAGCCGGCATGGTACCTTCTGTCCTTGCTGCTCGTGTACTCCTGGAACCAGGTCTTGAACTCCCCCAGCTGGTGCTGGGCTCCATTCACCACCTGGGAAGCGGCGAGCAGGTCTCCGCAACGCATGCAGTAGTAGATCAACGCCCACACGGGGTGGCCTTCCACCTCTCCATCCTAAGAGCAAAGAGGCCCGGAACCAAGTAAGCCAAAGGCTGTGCTGCTCTCTTGGGTGCCCGGCGCCCCAGCAAAGTCCTCTTCTTCTGTGACGGCAGGGAACTCTGAGAAGGCCCGCTGCCCTTTCATAGCCCCGGCCAGGCCCATCTCACAGACGAGGACAGCAAGGCCCAGGGAGGTGCAGGCGCGGGGCCACGGTCCTCTGGCCAGTGGTAGTTGGCCTTCATGGGGTCCCTTTAACACCCTGCACTGCCTGGTCCCCTTCCTGATTCAAACCCAGCCCGTGGCCCCTCCTCAGGACCCCAGTGGCCTGCAGAATCAGGCAATGGGTTCTTCTGCGACCACAGCCCCTGCCACCCCCACCAAGCAGCAGCGACAGACACTCCCCACCAGAAAGGGGCTACCAGTCCACACAAGGTTATAAAATGTTAACGTGGGTGGTTAGCTACGAAGTGGATACGAGAACTTGCATCCCTGTACTTACTCTTCCTTCAGACAATCACTGAGCAGCTTTGTCACAGACCCTGGGGCCAGAAGGCAGTTCTGGGTCCACTCTCCCAAGGACTGCAACTGCCCCTCCACTCTTCCCCCACCTCCTTTCTGGGACCCTTTGCCCTGCTCCACCACAAAGAACTCTTCCTCAAACCCAGCGCAGATCAAGTTCATTTCTCCACTGAAGTCCACAGTGCTCAGCCTGGCCCTCAGGGCTGTCACCAGGCAGACCACCCTCCTGAAGCTCACCTTCTCCACACGCTCTTCCTGCCCCCAGGACACCCTTTTCCAAGACCCCGGGCTGGAAAGCTCTCACAGCAAGCATGAAGCCAGCCAGCCCCCGCTGCATCCTCCACCCTCGGCACCAAGCTCCAGGCTAGCACTTCCACCCTGGGCTAATGGGCTGTAGGAAAATGCCTACAGATGCCTGCACATGAGGGGAGGGGCTGCATCCCAGGACTGGGCCTAACTCCTCTCCCAGCTTCCGGGCAATGATCTCAGGACTGACTGATCCCAGACCCTGCCTCTCACAGCCACCTCCGAGCTCTTCAGCATCTGCTGCTGGCTCTGCCGGATCCTTTCCTGAGCCCAGAGCCTGGCTGAGCCATCACCACAACTTGCTGGGGCTCCTGCATGCCCAGCATCTTCCCTCCACCTTTCTCGTTCCACACCTCCAGGCAAAAGCACTGCCCTGAGAGGCACGGAGCGTACAGAGAAAGCCGGCCGTACCTGAAGTCCAGGCAAGGGTGTTGGAAGTTTAAGGTTCAGGAAACTTCTAACCAACTGGTAAGTTCCGGGCACCCCTCCCAGCTGAGCCTGGTGCAAATTTCCAAAGACAGTCGCCAGGGTATAGTTCTTGTAGCTGGAGAAATGCAAAGGGAAAAAGAGGGTGGTGGAAGGCACACGTCACGCACATCTGCATCCAGACCCGAGGCTGGGATGTGCGTCCACAGGGTCTGGACTTGCTGGGGGAGCAGCGCGAGCGAAATCAAGTGCCACATTCTCCCTTCAGTGCACAGCGGGTCACTGGCACAGCCTCTTCACTGCAGACTCACTGGGGAGCATGCACTGAGGGAGGGTGCAGAACAGCACCCACGCAAAGTCCAGAGAAGAATGCAGTCAACAACCCAAACTCCTTACCCAGTCACCAATTGTTCACACTCAGATGCATGTTATCTCTCTCCTACACACAAAGCCATTCAAAACACCAACAGGACCCAGGGCTCCCTCACACATCAGTGTCTCCTAGGAACTAGGAGAGAGAATCTGCCACTTACTCAACACCAGTACGACACCAGGAAATGAAAGAGCAGCCTACTGCTAAACCCTGACCTGTGTGCGAGTCTCCCCACCTGGCCTGGCCTTATCACTGTTGGTGGCTGTCTTCAGCTCCGTCGTGGTGTGAGTCCACTTGGGCTGTTCCTTCCCATGGAAACCCACGCGCCAGCGGCAGGGAAGGCCAGTCTGCTGTGGCCGTGGTTGCCATTTAAGACTGGACCATCTGATGAAGAGGTGTGATCCACCACATTTCTCTGGCAAGTTAAGACCTTCTCCCTTTACTCACCCGGCTGGGGGAATACACTTGGGAGATTGTGGGAATGAATATTCTGCTCACCAACTATCTATCACAGTATTTCTTGTTCCTTGAGGATTCTGGCTGAACCAATAACCACAGTAGTAGTTGTAAAATGATGGTTTTCTACCATCCCCTCTTCATTTACTAGCTGACATTCTTCTTAAAATCTGCTCATGTTTGAAAGTGCGTCCATACTAAGATTAAGTGATCCTACTGTACAGATCTTGATGTGATTGAACTATTGAATGGTATGCTATGTGAAGTGTGTGGCAATGAAAGTGCTGAAAATGAGTGAGTGAATGAATGAATGGTCCAGGCTGTAGATACCCAAATTTAAAGTTAATATAATAAAGAACTTCTACGTCAGGAGCACTGAGGGTGCAGTGGCTAAGCTCCGGGCTGCTTCCATGGGAGAGATGTGGCCGTCAACTTCTGCAGTAACCGACAGCCTTGGAAACCCTATGGAGCAGTTCTGCTCTGCCCTCCAGGGCCAATGTCACACCCATTGGAAGTAACTTGATGGTCACAGTTTTGGGGGGGCATCTTCCAAAACTTCTTTCATAAGCATGTATTCTCAGTGTAACTTAACAATTGTGACGAGTTTCCTGGAGAAATATGAAAGTTGTAGAAGATTTCATTTAACCTGGAGCCTCAATCAACGCTCATGGAAATCACAGGTCAAGAGAGAAACCCAACATCGTAAGACCCTGGTGCAAGAGACCTCTCTGTGTTAAAGGCACAGACACTGCTTTGAAGACTTAGTGCGCCTGACCCAACCCACGGTGTGTCGGATCACCGCCGACGCATGAGAGCTGGGCGACGGGCAGGGAAGGCTGTCCAGAACCAGGCAGTTTCCCTCTGTGGAGGCTCTGGGTCAGAACCGGCCTCGCAGGCCCCCCAACAACAGGCGTGCCAACGCTAGAGGCATTTAAAAGCCAAGGTTCGGCAAGAGCCTGGAGGAGGAGGCCTGCAGCAGCCAAACAGACGGGCAGTGTGGTTTTCTCATTTGTATCAAGAAGCCCAGAGGCTGGCAAGGGCCCACGTGGGAGAAGCCTACATTCTGTCAGAGCTAAGACATACAAGGGCCTCCACAAAGCTCATGGAAAAGTTCCGCTGTCTTCGAATCCCATTTTCCCATGAGCTTTCCGAAGCTTCTTGTGTGTATCCCAATTCAAATCATAGAAGATGGCGGGGACCGGACAGACCAAGGCTGTGCATTTTCCCAGCAATTCCACACTTGAAGATTCGTCTGGGACGGTGTCTACATTGCCATCTGCTGTATTACTGACCTAGCATCAGTTACAGCGGCGTACAGCAGACTCTAATCACTCTGGAGCACCTCCTTTGCCAAAAGGTGGCAATAAAGATAAGGCCAAAACAACCGTGGAGAAGAAACTCTTGAATGTTGTTAGAGAATTCAGAGACGTGGTGTCCTCTGACAAACGCTACATGACGAACGGGCTCGCTGACCAGCAAGGCAAAACCCAGCAGCGAGCGCCAGTGTTAAGCGTGAGGGCCATGGAGGGGAAAAGCTGTCATAAGCAGATCCACAGGTAAACCCAATGAAAAAAATCCTCGAGATCTGTAAACATTAGGTTCTCTATAGCTAAAAATCATTACAGCCAAATCTTATACTACAAAAATTTACCCAGAACCTGATAAAATCTTTATAAACCCTTTGTGCTGATATTAAATTAGGGGACTTAAAAAAAAAACCCCATCTGGAGCTCCAGGTTTTTCCTAACAGGAGAGCAGAGGCTAGTGAATTGAACACATCTCAGGTAGCAGTCTACTGTCTAATTAACACTGTATTTGGTATAAGAACCTATTCTTTGCAGTACAAAGTCTGAATTACCTCAGTTACACACGGGAAACCGTTCCTAGGACTTCCTACTGAAGCGCTATTTCGTTGACAAGGGGAGACCATGCCACAAGCTGCTGGCAGCTGCAGAGGCTCAGTGGCACATGGCTGCAGTTTAGCGAGTGTTCTCAACTGGCCTTTGTCTCTGCAGCCAGGGAGAGGCCCGGCCTCCGGCCTCTGAAATAAAGAAGCCAATTCAGAACTCGACGCTGTGTCCACAGGTAGGAATGAGAGGCCTGGGCTCTGCTAATGAAAGGGACAATAGCCACGGCACAGCCTCAAGACCTTAGGTGACTGAGATAGTTTATTGTGCCAGGCTGGCTGATAAACACAAGTGGGATTAACTGAAGGGCAGAGAGATAAATGGCTTGGTGAGCCTTGCCTTTCTTGTCTCTCACTCTGTGATCATCGGACCAGTGTGCGGCTGCCTTGCTTGTTCTGTGCCTCAATTTAAAGGCTACACTGCCTGTGGGATGCCTAGCCTGTGGACTGTGTCGCTGTAAGTTGAGGTCCCTTTAAGACATCTCTGGAGCTGGGGACGGCGGTTGGTAACCTGCCTTGTGATTGGCTGCTGTGCTGACATAGCCTAGCTCTCTCTATAAATAGAGGAAGATCTGGGAGCAGACTAGACTTGAAGGACTGCTAGTCTCCCAACTTTCTCTCACGTACGTGAGTTGCACTGAGCCATTTGTAGTGCTTTATAATTTAACTGTTTATTTCTTGTATTATATATTTATCTGTATATTATTTAACAGTTCATTTCTCATTATATATCTAATTATCTTTATAAATAAATATATTAAATTATCAGCAATTTGGTTTTATCTCTCTAGAGAACCCTGTCTAACACAGTGACCAACTCTGATTAGTAAGGAGGTGACAAGGAAGCCCAGGCACAAATCCCAGGCCTCAACAGCCGGAAGGATGGGACTCCAGTGCCAGAGGAGCACCAGGAAGACAAGAAAGGCTAGTGGCCTGCGGAGCGTGAGGGGGGAGTCACTGCTGCACAGAGAAAAGGAAAGGGCCAAGGGTGTAATGGCTGAGCCCCCTTGGGACACAGCACCGGGTGCGAGAGTCAGATAGCTGGGTCTGTGTTGAAGGGCTGTGAGCGGCGAAGTCATGAAACAGCTCGCTCCCCCTTGACCTCTTCCTGGGGTTTCACGCCCCCGCAGGAGGTAAGGTGGTCCTGAGATCAAGGACTGTGCCTCTCAAGCCACACGCAACCTTGGGTGTTGTTAAAACCAACCCTGCTCCGCTTCTGCTGCCTTACCTCTGCTCCAGGTAGGCCAGGGCCTGCCTGACAAACTCCATGCGCACCTCCACGTTGTTGCGGCTCTTCACCGCATCTGTTGCCGGGACCAGCAGCACGTCTGTCATTTGTTTGACCATGGCCCACATGTCCGAGATGCTCTGCGGATAAATGACACCGCACATCACAAGGAGAAGTGGTCTTCCTGGCGGCAGCAGGAGGGGCGAGCGGCAGGCCTTCCGTTGGAGACGCCCTCTGCCCTGCCGGGTGCTGGCGCTCCATTCGCCAATGAGTTGCCCCTCACCCCGCTCCCAGTCAGTCTCTCAGATCAATTACTATGCCAGGTCTGACAGAACCGCCCACATCATTAAGACCACATAAAGCAGCAAGAACACAGAATCCCAGTGGATTGCCCCTTAAGAGAGTGAACACATTTCTAATCTAGGAGTTGTAACTCAACCGCATTTCAGTTCTTACAAGGTCATTTGAGTTTCTTAAGGCTTAAAATAAGAGTGCAGCCAACATAATAGAGGTTTTGTCCCCCCAGGCCTCTCCAGGGGCCCCTGATCTCACCCCATTTGGTGAGTGTCACAGCTCCCTAGTTTGCCTTCCCATTCACTCCCTTCAAAAGCTGTCTCCGGAGAGAGAGAGAAAGAAGCGGGCGCCCCCTCCTTTGCTGCCCCCACACAGCTGGGACGCCTGTGTCCCAGGGCCCCTCCTCAGTCCTGCTCCCTGGAGTTCAGAAGCCTTGAACGGCAGCAACGATGGCAGAAGAGCAGGCTTCTACTTTCCCCCAGAGGGACAGAGAAGATGATGTGCTTCTTGTCTCTCTCAAAGAGTAAAGTGATAGGATAGCCATCACATGGGATTCTTTCTAGATGTAGCGAGGTTGTCCTTCTTCGGACTCATTTCTGTTGCCTGACATCTCACTACAGGAAAGAGGGAGGGACTGAAGGAGGGGCGTTATTTGAAGGACTTGAAAAAAGCCAAATCCAGGTACGGGTACTTGGCCACAATGGCTGTCACCATTCCTCTTTCCTCTGAGCTGCTCGCCCACCCACGCTGTTTCTGCATTCGCTCCCCTTACCCGGCGCCATCAAGTACATGCTGACTCACTGGCCAATGGAGTTGAGGAAGGAGAAAAATGCCGAAGGCCCGGAAGGCACATGGAGGCTGCGGGAAGCATCCCCTTTACGTCCCAGCTCATGGCAAAGGTCCCTCCAGTCAGCGGCCTCTAAGAAGGGGACTGACTGCAAGAGGCAAGAGCTCAAAGCAAGGACAACCCGAGGAGAACTATTGTGACCTTTTATCGATTCTGGACCGCTCAAAATCATTAAAGTTTCAGAAATTTAAAATTACAAAAGGTACTTTTTTTTTTTAATGTACCTCCGAAGAACAGCTAACATTTTATTCTGAGAAATAGAGTATCTGCTTAATCATTACAGCACGCCAGCAAGTCGCCCATCCCATCTGCACATGGCCTCGCTCCGGGCTGAGTTAGTCCAGGACACGTTACCTTGTCATCCGGCCCCACGGCGGCAGCACAGAGGTCCACAAGGTCAGGCTGCAAGTGCCCATTCACAATCTTCTCATTATAGATATAAATCTGAAATGACGGAAATAAGAGTGCAATTTCCACGATCACTTTCTCTTTGTAAAACGTCCTGAGGCCATTCTGAAGCCAGCTTTAGCCCAATGGCCGGCAGAGAGCCAACTGCCACCCTGGCTGCGCCCAATACTTGAAGACCAGGTTCTGAAGAAGCTACAGGTGGGTCTGCAACACCTCTGCCCAGCAGACGCCAGTTCCAGTGAACGAGAACCAAAGGGGAAGACCTTGGAAACGGAAGGGCTCCCACGGAGGGTCCCCAACAACCCAGGCCGGTCTGGGAATCTTTCTGCTCGAGAGCTGAGCAGCCCCAGGGCCGGACTCAAGGGGTGGGAGGGATCAAGGGCTGTAGCCCTCCCTGCCAACTGCAGTGTCCACTTCTCCTGGGCAGAAGCCTTGCTCTCTAGAAACATTTTCTCAGGAGAAAGGAACTGAGGGGTATTTAATGTATGGGAAAACCACTGTTCCTTTGGATTGGATGTTAAAGGAGTGAACGTGATGATGGCGGTAAGAATGACTACCTGGGAATTTTGTGGACGAGTCCACTTGGTACTGGAAGTCTTTGTTCCAACGGAAGAAGGCAGTGATGTCAGTCAGACAGGTCCTACCCCAAGCTTCCTTGATTTTTAAGTGGGTGAAGAGAGATGGGAGAGCGCCACTGAACTTTAGGGCTGTGCTGGAGATGAGCTGAAATGCTTGTGAAACTCTAAGGTGAGGCTTATCTACTCGGCAAACCCCACAAGCTCGCAGTGCGAGCCTTTCCTCTGCCGGGCCCTGTGCTTACTGCAAGACATAAAGGTTCACTCTCACAGGGGAAGCGTAGCCGTGCAGATGAATGCACAATATCACAGTCCCATGTGCTGTAAAGTGCTAGCTCTACGAAGCTTTAGCCTCTACAGATGTATAAGCTGCCTAACTTCTCCCCTAAGAAGTTTATCACTTCCTTAGGCCTGAAATCAGGTGTCACAGAGGCACTAAAGGGAGCCAGGTGAAATGTGAAGGGTGCCAATGTGGAGGAGTAAGGAGAGCGCTAAGAACCGGGGCAGAAGGCGCTAAAGAAAGGCCTGGTGGTGGCCTGTGAAAGAATCTCACGGCAGACTTGTCTGTGGGGAAGCCTCTGCTGCCCCGTGTTTGGAGAAGCGCCGGGAGTCTAAGGATAGGGCGTGAAACACGTGGGAGAAGGCAGCAGCTCAACAGTGAAAGGGGCCGGCAACTCGCCGTACTTCCTGCACACCTTCAGAGCCACGCCTGGTTCTGCTTCCAGAGAGCCGCTCACCGCTCAGCAGAGACAAAGGGCCTTGAGTGGCTCCAACATGGCCCCAACCCCTTTCTTCAAAGGATCAAAGGTGTAGGCTGCCGCTGAGCAGATGTCCCTTGGCCCGTGAAGTGGGATGAACTCAAGGAGAGGGAGCTCACCACTTCCGTTCTAGAGACAAAATGTTCCCCTCCGGATTCTTGAAGGGGACCCAGGAGGGAGTGGGTGTTACCATAAATGCACAGCTGGCCAGTTCCCGTTCCAGGGACACTCTGTGTTCGGGGCAGTATGCTCAGGCACAAAGAACCTGCTCACACCAAAACTTTCTTCAGGATAACAATGGCATTAAACATCACCGCGAGCACTGGCTACCAAGGCAGAACAGCACTTGGAACGTAAAGATTTCTAATGCAACACTGGCAGCCTACCACACCATTTCACGAACAGAGAACTCCACTTGCCCAGCTGTTCATGTACACAGGGTCACTACCAAATGCAACCCGGACACCTTGCTCAGCTGACAGCCCGGATCTCCGCTTCCCCCGTCAAAGGCGGCAGTCACTGCCCTCCCCAACAGCTCCCCAGTGGAGGGGAACTCTTAAGCAGTCTCTGGGCTGGATTTTCACATGAAGTCTTTGTTCCCTTTACTCATCCCTCCCTCGCCACCCCCACCCCCAAAAGGGCTCAGGAAGGTCTTTCTAGATGAAACCTTCCAGGAGGACAAGCTCACCTGCCGGGCGTAGGCCATCTCGATGCTGTCCAGAGAGCTTCGCCCGGGGGCGCCCAGGTCACTGATGTAACTCGGCTGCAGGAGAGACACATTAACAGGAGTATTAGGCTGTGCTTTGTAGTCAGATTTCCTCAGAATTGCATAAAACGCAGCTCCCTCCCACAACACAGAAGGGAGCAGGCACGGGACTCAATCTGATCCAAAGTGCTTGGCGGCTGCATTAGCCCCAGTGGAGCCCCAGTGACTGCTCTGGGACGGCCACTTCTTTCCAACGGAACCAACCTGGCGGCACACAACACGCAGGGGCAAATGAAAAGGGATTCATTCTACCCAGGTTCCCGTGCACGCATGCACCGTGGCTGGAACACAAGGCGTGTTTCATCCTGTTCTGGTGAGCAGTGGGGGGCTGCGGGCAGGTTCCCTCAGGCACACCCTTGTCTTAGTCTCGCTGGGGGGTCTTCACAAAAGGACTCGTCTGGGGGCATCTGCTGGGCCAGATACACTCAAGGCAGAGAGGTCAGCCCAGGTTATGGGGACTTTTTCAGTATCCCAAAGAGAGAACGGCTCAAGCTACGACCTTGTCAACTGCCTCAAATGCACGTGGACGCTGGACACCGAATAAGGAAGGTGTGTTTGAATCACGGTGCTGGCAAAGAATATTGAAAGTACCATGGACTGCCAAAGGAGCAAACAGATCTGTCTTGGAAGAAGTACAGCCAGAATACTCCTTAGAGGCAAGGATGGCAAGCCTTGGTCTCACATACTTTGGACATGCTATGGGGAGACACCAGTCCCTGGAAAAGGACACCGTGCTTGGTAAGGTGTGTGAAAGAGGGAGACGCTCAAGGAGATGGGCTGTCACCGTGGCTGCAACAACGGCTCCAACCCAGCACTTGTGAGGAGGGGCAGCCCAGCAGTGCTCCATGCCGCTGCACATGGGCTCGTCCTGGTCCCACTGAGTGGACGGCACCTAACAGCAACAAGAGGCCGTCTCGAGAGATTACAGTAACGAACGCAGGACCGCGCTAGCGCGTGTCATGAAGAAGTCGTAAGAACATGGAGAACTGCACTGTGAGGAAAGGCCAGGACAGGTTGTGCACAGCAAGGCAGCTGCTCGTGCTAAGCGGGAAGCAGAGGAGCTGGGCTAGAGAACTTTGTAGGGACCCTACTCCATCCACCCTACAGCCCTGATCTTGCCCCTTCAGACTGCTTTTTCGTTCCCCAAACCCCAAGAACAGTGCAGAGGAACACGACTCAAGTCCCCAGGATGGTCAAGCTGCCACTTGAAAGGGCGTCGATTGAAGGGCGCAGAATTCTTCAGGGAAGGCTTAGGGCGGAGGGAACATCACTTTCAGAAGTGCATAGACCTAAGGGAGGGCAGGCCATGAAACAAGAGCTGTACACTTTGGTGCCTTTGTTTAACAAAGGTTTCCGTGATTTTGCATCCATACTTTTCTTAATTTACCCTAGCACTTACTCAGCACTTACTATATACCAAGCACTGTCCTATTTTCCATCACCTAACCGCCCTGGGAAACAGGCATCTGTTGCCCTCTAGGCAATTCTGACTCAGTCACCCCAAAGGGCAGAGTAAGACTGCTCCGTAGGGCTTCCTAGATCTGCCCATGGGAAGCCCAGCTGTAGGAGCGGGTTCTGTGCTAGGCTGTAACCTTGGAAACCCACAGGACAGTTCTACTATGTGCTAATAGGACCCGATGAGTCGGAATTAACTCGATGACAGTAAACTTGGAGTCCTGGAATCGTTCCAGAGGGGGGCCCTGGTGGCACAGAGGATAAAGTGCTTGCCTGCGAACTAAAAGGCCACGTGGTCAGAACCCACCAGCTGCTCCCCAGGGAAAGGATGTGGCAGCCTGCCTCGGCACAGACGTTATACCCTAGGAAACCCTGCAGGGCGGGGTCTGACCTGCCCGCCAGGGCTGCCCCGTGCGGGGAACGGCTCGGCAGCAGACTGACATCTCTCTCCTGGGGAGGCCTTGGTGAGAGCCAACCCCTGACTTTTTGGCAGGCAGCCAAACGCTTTAACCACTGCACCACCAAGCCTCACAAGGCAAGTCTTTTAATAAATCATCCTATTGGGGGCTCTTACAACAACGCATACATCGATTGCATCAAGCACATTTGGGCGTACTGGAGGGGCATGTGCTCCGAGCCTCTCTCAAGAGGCGGTGGCATCGTCCCCTGCATTCTCAGCATGACGTGTGCCTGTCGCAGGGGCGGCCCGGGGACCCTTTCCAGCGCAGCCATCACGGGCCCGAGCAGTGTGTGACATGTGGCTCCCTGGGCAGGGCTTCACAGGAGCAGACAGCCTCAGCTTTCTCTGAGGCTGAGCCGTGCACAGCTAACACCGCTTCTTAGCTCTGTGACGGAGCGGACCACAGCTCAGCCTCGACTTCAACTATAAAATGGTAGTTGTAATGGCGCCCGCCTCATAACGGGGCTTCAGGAAGTTCACGGACAAGTTAAACTTTGTGAATCCCCTTGCGGGTTACAACAAGAGTAGCAGTATTCATCGAGAAGTAAAAAGAGCCGATGCTCCGCAGTGCTTGCAGTGACGACCTAAGATCCCCACGGAGCCGGCAGGGGAGCTGGAACAGGCCTGGAGAGCTTTTGCTCTGCACTGGCGGGAGACACGCCTGCATTTTTCTGCAATGGCTTCGTTGGCACAGACCCCTCTAGCCGCTGAGCTGAGGGCAGCCCCTTTCTGGAACAGAAGGAACTTGTGAAAGCCCTTGGGAGAGCTGAGCCGGCTAATCCCAGTCAGCTCACTGGGTCCTGGGAAGAGGCCGGGGGCGGGGAGGGGCAGCAAGGGCAGTCTTGCTCCGCAGAGTTGTTTGAGCTACATAAACACATGAGCAACCTGGTGAAATATTTTCCAGTACTAAAATCCTTGTTTTTGTAAAGGCATCCATTTAAAAAGTAGTTGGTTTCCAGCCTTCGAATTTCCATTTAAATTAATTTTGCCTGATGCACTTGTTTTCACAAGTACTTCTCCTTCACTTGTCCTTGGCCCAGCCTCAGAAACGCAGAACCCTATCCATCAACAGGAAGTGCACTCACACATTCCTGAGCAGAGGCTGGGCTCCAGAGCCACGATGCTTTCCCAGAAGGCTGGTGAGAATAACAATCTATTTCCTCAGACCACTGGGTTTCTCTGCCCTGCAGAAAGTGACCAGGACAGGGAGACAGGGATCAGAAAGGAATGGGAGGCAGGAGGGAAGGGCCACGTGTTCACCCAGGGGACGGGGAACCCTGGGGAAACTCTGGGCCCACCCAGAGGCTCCGAGGGATGAAGACGTGGCGCTCTGCTTCGGTAGAGATTGACCGCCTTGGAAACCCCGAGGGAAAGTTCCACTCCGTCCAAGAGGGTGCTAAGAGTCAGCGTCAACTCCAAGTAACAGAGTTGGTTTTCAATCTGGGAACAGACGGAAGATCTTCCCAGAGTAGATGGTGTGTCCAAACAACCAGCTTAGAAGAACATTCCAGAACAGGAGACACACAGTTGGACAGTGGCAGGAAAGGACTGCAATGCTTCTTCGTTTTAAGTTTTACACACTTAGTAAGCACTGAATGGGTAAGTGCTGGGCTGCTAATCTCAAGGTTCAGTGGTTCAAACCCACCAGCAGCTCCATGGGAGAAAGATGAGGCTGTCTGCTTCTGTACAGTCTACAGCCTCAGACAGCGTGGCTGAGTCAGAACCGATCCAGTGGCAGTGAGTTCGTTGTTCTTAGGATTGGGGAAAGCACCTCCAGGGATGAATAAACTCTTGCCACGAGTTCAGACTGTGTGTGTGTGTGTGTGTGTGTGTGTGTGAGAGAGAGAGAGAGAGAGAGAGAGAATGACATGAACATGTCGAGCAACACCAGTATAGAGAAAAAGGAAATTATGGTGGCAGAGTAGCAGGAGTTTCACTTCCCAGTGGAATGTTTAGGCTTTAGGTGTGTCAAATAAAACCAGAGCCTAATTTACAGTGAGGGCTATAAAGTCTGTCTACAGAACACTGGAACGAAAGGCCCAGGCTTGGCCAGATGACCCACGTTCCAGTGCAGCCCAGGTAACAGCGATGACCTTGGGTAAGGACACGTGCTGTGCCAGCCCCACAAGTGCTGTTAGGTTTGAGCCCTAAAGATAGCAAGCTTCAAGGACAACACCTCCAAGTGTGTGCAATGGTGCCACGTATGGACTCAGTGGAGATGCGTGAAGACCGCAGATGAGCGCCCAGCAGGCTCCGATGGAAAGGGCATCCATCCGTGGGTGGAAGAGGCTGGCTGTGTTACCACATGGTTCTTCCACGCACCTCTCGGCCACCCAGTTACCACGTGAGGCACCGAGAGGTCACTTGTTTTGTTCTTTTTTGGAAAGCACCCACAGAACTCCCTGTAATCCACACCCAGCTCAAGGTCCAGTATGTGAAACCGAGCCGTCACCATCTCAGCTCCTGGGAAAGGGCCAGGAGCCAGACTACAGTTTAAAATCACCTCGTCTGAGATTTTCAAATGCAAACTCACTGCTCTGCATTTACTGTATTTCAAGGAATCTAACATACGATAAGGCATGCTATTTTATTCACCACAGGGGGACAAACAGGTCTGTCAATTAAACTAAAAGACACCATTGGATTTAATGCATATCCCAATTTCAGAGATGGGAAGGGAAAAACAAACTGTGCCTGGCTGTGATGAAGTAAGCTCTTTTAGGTGGTCTTTGGCCTTGATTCTCCGGAAAAGTTTGCGTTTGAGAGCCTCTGTCCCCTGCAGCCCTGAGGAATTACTTTTGCCCTAGTTTTCTACCCCAGAGGATCTGCTAACTCTACGTGGTTGGCTGACACTCGCTGGGAAAGGTAGGCTGTAGACCAGGATGGCTGGAAGCAGTGGCCCTGGTCACAGTGATTGCTATGCACCTTGCAGGGACTGGTCAGTAGACTGCAAATGAAGAGATGGTGGACCATGCAAATGAAGTGTTGACAGCTTACCGTGCAATTGAAGTGGCTGAGGCTCACTGGCCCTGGTGGGAGGAACCTGCCTTGGAAATGACAAGGAGTTGTCGAAATGAGGTTTTGCAAAGAGAAAGAGGCGGGAGAGAAACCGCAGCAACAAGAAGCGGGAAACAGCAGAGCGAGGAGGCAAGGAACCTGAACACAGGCCAGGACTGCAGCACTGGGGACAGTGACAGGCTCGGCAGGGGCCCAGGAGCCACGTCAGGGTGACAGACGGCAGAGCTAACAGGCGTCTGTCTGTCCAGAGGGGGCAGAGTAGTGATCAAAATTAGAGGCGATTCAGTGTAGGAATGTCGCCACCATTTGCTGTTCAGGTTCTCTAGGGAGCATGTTGCTTGCTAGGCCACATTATTTTCCAAATAATACAAATGAGTGTCAAGAAGTCGTCACAGGAAAACCTGCAGGATCTCTTGGTTGCATTTTCCCATGCGCTCTTCCTTACCCGCAGGGACCGCCCGCTGGCAGGAGCCGTGGTGGCACAGCGGGGCAGCCCTCCACTGCTAAAGGAAAGGCCGGGGATGAACTCATCCAGCAGCGCTCCACTGCAGGCGCTGATCCGGCCATGGTAAGAAAACCCCAGGGTGCGCTTCTACGCTATCCTGTCAGGGTGCTAGCAGGAGGAGTCCACTGGGTGGCGCCTAACACAACAGGACCAAATGGGCAATAGCCTGCGGGGACTCGAGAGACGGCCTCTGAAGACTGCAGTGCTTCCGCACTGCTAAATGGCACTCGCTGTCCAGCACACAGAGGTGAGCCCCCTGCCATCCTCACCACCTGCTGGAACTGGCCCCCGAGGGCTTCACCAGGAAGCTTTTGCTTGCTGCAAAATACATTCTTCCTACTCAGACCACAACTTGAGAAGTTATTAACACTCTTTAAATTGCCTGCCTTCCTCCATGGAATTTCCTACCTCTTTGCTCAATGACATCCCAAGGAAATTAATTTCTCAAACTGACTCAATGTTCCTTTATTAAAACACGCCAGCAGCAGATTATGACCAATGTCCCTATGTTCTTCTGTGATTGGAAAGCTTTGGAGGGGGCGTGAGGGTGGGGTGGGGGGGAAACTATTTCAGGAACCATTATTTCTCCAGTTTTTAATTTAAAAAACTTTAAAGCCTTGTGCTGTGCTCTATAATAAATTATCCTAATTTGAACATTTCCCTGCAAATGCAAGATCAGCTCAAAATGATCTGGAGCCTCTTTTCTGACTAATGACTCTCGAGAGTCTAACAATCTTATTCCTGGCAATAATGTGCTAACAACCTATTTGAGATATTGAGGCATACTTCTTCAATCTTCTTGTATTTAGGCACAAAGATTTATTTATTTAAAATCATTATTAGCAAGAATCTATAAACAAAATGGAAACACTCAAAAAAGGCCAGAGCCATCTTAAAAAAACGATGAGCAACAATTTAATAATCTTTAGCACACAAAACACTGCCCTAACACATAGTGCCAGGACATGCCACGTGTGTGCTCGGTGCAGGCCCTGGGCTAAGGGCTGTGCCCACGAGCCCAGCACTCCTCAGGACGGCTCTGCCCGTCTTCTGACCTCCAGTCTATGCTCTCCCTGAAAGAGAGTGGGGGTACCCACCCAAATGGAGATCACACCACCGTAGAACACAGTGAATACTGAATAGAGCCTGCATAGACACGCACAGACACAGAGCTCCACACAACACCCCAATGATTACATGAAAAAGAAAACCAAAGGAACTATCAAGTGGGGGAGGATATGGAGTTCTCACACGGCAGGTAAGAGGGGATAGTGATACAGCATTCCAAAACCCAGCTGGCAGAGCCGACGAAAACTGAACACAGGCATGTAAACCCAGTGTGGCCCGATTCTCCTCGGGGGTGTGCCCAAGGGAAATACGTCAGTTCACAACATACTTTTATAAGAGACAAGACCTGGAAAACCCCTAATGTTCACCAATACCGCTATTGTGTTTAGGGGCCATCCAATCGGTTCCAACTCTTAGTGGCTGTGACGGTTTTCTCGTGCCAACTTGACACCTGTAAGAAGACAGGGGTGGAGTCTAGCCTGTCAATCAGGTTGCAGCCTGGTGACGTCCCCTGGAGGTGTGCCCGAGCTGTGTAGCTCTCTGGAGGCCAGCCTCTCTCTCTGCCTTGACCTTCCTGCTTGCTGGACACCGAGAGCTGTTGGAGGCCCTGTGAGGCTTCCACCAACACTGGACCACACGACTTTGCACCGCTGGCCTGGGACCGTCCTGCACTCTGCATCAGTGGCGACATACGTCTGAAGAGGGACTTATGGACTAGTGTCTTATGGGTTTACAGACTTAAGCTGGGCTGGGCCGAGATGTCTTCTTGATATATAATTACTTCTTGATGGAAAGCTCTCTCTCGCACATAAAGGAGTGTCACTGGATTGCTCTAGTGACCCTATGCACAACAGAATGAAGCACTGCCCAGTCCTGCGCCACCCTCACTAGCACGGTCGCTGTGTTGAGCCCGCTGCTGCAGCCACTGTGTCGATCTGTCTCATCGAGGGCCTTCCTCTTTTCCACTGACCTTCTACTTTCCCAAGGACAATGTCCTTCTCAGTTGTTCACGTAATGAGATACTATTTGGCCGTGAGAACGAATGGCCTGCAACCACACACAATAATAGAAAGTACAAGAAAGCAAAAACAAGAGTATGTGTCTCATGGCTCCAGTTACAGAGAGCTCAAACCAAGCAAGGTTGCTCTGTGATGTCAGAAGTCAGGGAAGTGGCTCCCTTGACGATGGGGCAGGTGGGGAGAGGATGCAAAGCGACCACCGGGTGCTGGTTACGTTCTGTTCCTTCTATCTTACATAGGTGTGTTGTGTTGGTGGGAATTCAATGAGCTGTACGCGTCTTTGTATGTATGTGAAACTTTGGAGAAAAATTCAAACCAACAACAGCAAGCAACCAACCAAACCTCTTCAGTTCAGACAACGGCGGCTCCTTGGACAGCCCAAAGAGCAGCACATGTCTGACACAGCTGTCCGCCCCGCTAGGCGTCACACAGAGAACAGTAAAACATTGAGAACCCCCTTCCAGGGGGACCTGAGGTCAGGGAAGACGAGTCTACTAACTAGACTAGTCTATTTTTAGGAAAAGAACGGATCCAGGAAGAATATCTCATTAGCAACTTTTAATTAATTCCAAATCCCAATGCAGACTACAACCTAGTAACACCATTTTATAAAATGAAGTTTATAACAGTATAAGCTGTTCTAGTTATTTGCCTAACTTCACCAGGAACTGAGAAAGCAACACTGAGTTGATCAAGGGTTTCCCTACATTAGTTCTTTTTCTCAAAGACTCTGATTTGTTCACAATTTGACTTAAGAGAGGTGGGATAAGGGTCCTTCATGAGTAACTGCCTAATATGAATGCCTTTAGGTCCTTTTATCTGGGGGCTAATTCACAGAAACCCAAAACTCAGTGCCCCTCAGTTGACTGTACCTCATGGCAACCATGTACAGGGGTTCTGAAACAGTCTTATCTTTACAAGAGTGGGCAGAAGAGCCTCATCTTTCTTCCATGGAGTCGCTGGTGGGCCTGAACTGCCAACCCTGAGGTGAGCAAGGCATGCCTACCCCACAGCACCCTCACTGGACACCGACCGAAAGGCAGGTGGTTCAAATGCACCAGTAGCTCCTCGGGTGGAAGGTGAGGTTGTCTGCTTCTGTACAGATTTACAATCTCAGGTCACTATAACCTAGAATCGACTCTGTGGCAGTGGTTAAGAGAAACAGTGATTTTCAAATCGGGAGATTTGCAAACTGGGGACAGATGAAGTTAGCCTGGAGTCAGGAGGAGCTGCCCAGTTACCCACTCTTGACCCCACTGTCCTGGGTCTCGGCAGCACAGCTCAGAGTTCACGCCTCTATGCCCTCCTCTTCCCGACCCAAGTCAGGGGAGGACTGCCTGTTCTCCGGGAAGCAAGACTGCTCAGGGAACAACTCAGAAGCATGCAATATTGTTAGAAACTGTCAAACATTAGGTGGTAATTTTATAGGATTATAATTGTTCATCTTGGGCATCCAATTCCCCCCCAAAGCAGTAGTATGGGCTGGCAACTCTGCATCAGGGGCTTTATGTGATGACTCATCTTTGTGACAAGCCCATTTGACCAACAGGGACGCTGCAGGCCTGCAGGGACAAAGGGCTGGGCAGGTCTCAGGGCAGGAAAAATGCAGAACTGAATTTCACATTCTCGTGGGCAGCAGACTTCCTGGAGCCACGGGGGCTGGATGAACCAGAGATGTGCCCGCCTTGAGATCATCTTTAAACCTTATACCAAAAATAGACTTAACTGAACTAGTCAAAAATGCCTGCCTATTATCGGTGAGCTCACACCAACACCAGCAACTTGAAAGCCTGGGGCGGGGCCTTAGGGGCAATGAGTTCACGCCCTGAGGGAGGGAGGGTTCAGAAAGGAGGAGAGTGGCTGTGTGACTGGAGGCACGTCAGCAGTGTGGCTAAACTACACATCGAAGCTGTTGCGTTATTGTGTGTGGATTCACAACAGAAATGAAATACACTGTAAGGAAGGGTAAAGCGAGCGAGAGAAAGACGAGATCGAGGACTGCACCCCGGGGCATGCTAACGTCAACAGGTCGGGAATCTGAGGAAGCTTCAAGGCCAAAGCAGCCAGCCACACCTGCTGGACCAGCTCTGGGCAAATGCAGGCACCTGGACGTCAAGTGAAGGCGTTTCGAGGGCAAGTGAGGAGCAATGCCAGAAGTCACGAAGACAGGTACGTGCAGTTGTACTCCACGGAGCGGCCAACCTGGTGGTTAACAGGCCAAAGCGACTTACGACCAAGCATTTTGACTAACAGTGGCCCACCTTTGGGATTCAACCTACCTCATTCTCTTGAGTAAAGTCAAGGGCATCTTCTCCTGATGCCAGCAGCGTGTGGAGAATTCGCTGTTTGACTTGCTCCCACTCGACCAGCATGGACTCTCGGTGGTACTCCTCGGCCATGCCAAAGGTCTGCGGGAGGGAAGCAGAGCAAGGTCTGGAGTGAAGAAACAAGCGCATGCTGCCGGCAGGCCCATCGCAGGCCCCTTGCCCACCTCGGTACGCAGAGCACAATAACCACTCTCAATGTAAACAGCCTGATCAATTCTAAGACGTCCTTTTCAAACCTTTGGAATCAGGCAGCAGAGTACAGTTAATAGCATGGCATGACCTAAATCGCAGTATCTTTCCCTATGCAGTAAAGTCAATGACATAAAACCCATGGTTATCTTAAGATGTAATGAGTATCAAAGATAAGAAAAACAAAAGATGCTCCGGTGGCTTTATTAACTTTCAGAGAAATACGAATAGCTTCAGAAGGAAAACAGTCTTCTGGAATTAGGTTCCGAGTTTCTCCTGAAGAGTGGGCATCCTCCCTCTGTGCACTGTAGTGACAGGTGACAACCACGGCAGGTAGTTGCCCAAGATACGCATTAGGAAACAGGAAGGGAAGTAACACAGGCCCCACCTCTGGGGAGACGGGCACAGCAACTTACACAGCTATACCAAGCTATGACCATGCTAGCCTATTTTTATGCTTCAACTGGTGGACCAGCACCCACCCCCACCTCCTTCCCCAGCATCAGCTTGAAGGCCCTTTTCAAAAACCCATTTCCTTTATAATCGGCTCGGCATCTAATTAGGCAGCACCAAGAGAATGAATATTAGGGAACGAGTGCTTTACTCGTGGTGATGCAGATGCTTTATACGGATAAAATCCACACACATCAACTTGGAGGAACTGGTAGGGAAAGCACACAAACTCTTCCCAAAATGGGAAGTCTGTGTTTAGATAAAAATTCATTAAACTGTAAACACACACACACAAAGATGGTCCGATTGCAAGTTTGATTTTGACCCACCTAAATAATAGATATCCTGAAGACCCAAGGAAAAATGCGAACTATAAACTTTTTAAACTCTTCCATAATTTTTCTATACACATTTTGTTTGCGCTCTAGACACATTCGTGTTTACAACAGAGCAACCAGGCAAGGTATGTAAACTTTGTAGACCCAAGCCAAGACCTTGAAGGAATGACTCGCTGCGCTTCGGTACAAGGCCAACTGGCAGAACGCAGCTGACCAAGAAAAGGTTCCAACAGTCTACTTCTGGGACTGGCTTCTTAAATGCTCACAGTGGCCATCTAAGGGGCTACTATTGGTCTCTCTCCACCAGGAACAAAGGAGGAGTGAAGACAATGAAAATCTCAGGGACAAATCCGGCTAGACCAGAGGATGTACACTAGTACAGATAGGAACTGGAAACACAGGGAATCCAGGACAGATGATCCCTTCAGGACCAGTGGTGACAGTGGTGACACCAGGAGAGTGGAGGGAAAGTAGGGTAGAAAAGGGGAACCGATCACAAGGATCTACACATAACCTCCTCCCTGGGGGATGGACAACAGAAAACTGGGTGAAGGGAGACGTTGGACAGTGTAAGATATGACAAAATAATAATAATTTATAAATTATCAAGGGTTTGTGAGGGAGGGATAGAATGAGGAGCTGATACCAAGGCATCAAGTAGAAAGAAAATCTTTTGGGAATGATGGTGGCAACAAATGCACAAATGTGCTTGACACAATGGATGTAAGTATGGATTGTGATGAGTTGTACAATCCCCCAATACAATGATTTTGAAAAGTAAATAAATAAAATCTCCTGGAAACAATTAGTCCAAGAGGAACTTCAGTCTGTACTGCCCTGGCCCCAGAAGAACTCAACGATGGGTCCAGTAGGGATTACCCCTGCACTGGCGGTGAGATGTTAAAAAAAATCTCGACATTGTAAAAGAGACCTGTAAAAGAGACCTGGTCAGGGAGAGACCAGTGGAACTTCTGAGACTATAGCCCTCCGTCACCCTTCGGGCTGGAAATAAACGCACAAATGGTGGCTCGGTTTCCAACCATACAGCAGACAGCCCTATCAGGAGAACAGTAACGCCGGGAGGTGCATCCGCACACCTCTGAAGAAGCCCGCCGTGCATAGGAGGCACGGCAGCACTGGCCCCCAGACCACGTCCAGAAGGCAGGGCGGGTCAGAAAGAAGGATGTCCAGAGGCCGGAGCAAGTAGGACAGACGAGGTGAACCCTGCGGGGCTGGGACTCAATGACCAGAAACAAAGTGTACGGACCACAGAATGGAAAACCGACTTCTTCAGGTAAACTTGCACCCAACGTGCAATGAAAGTTCAGCGAAAGCAAACCACGGTCTTCCACCTGGTTTTCTTCTCACTGCGGGGGAGAATGGACCCTCCCAGCAGTTGCCTGGGATGGAAAGTCGCCACAGGAAAATGCTTGCTTCTTGCTCACAGCACCGGAACACGAAGTAGACAGAAGTGCATCACTGAAACAAAGGGGGTGGTTTACAGAGAGAGGAGGATAATCTTCTCTGAAAGCATTTAAAAAATAGTGTAGGAGCCAAGCAAGATTCCTGTACAACACTTCCTATTTAATGATCAAACCAAAGGCCCCTTCCGGCTTGAGCCTCTCCCAAGGGAAAGGGAGACCCAGGCAGCACAGAGCAACAACCCAAACACCTCAAACCCTCTGCTGTGGTGTCCACTCTCCCTGCTGGGGGGGACGCGGACAGCGAAGGACTGTCCCAGACGGTTCCCAGGGCTACCGGAGTTTTTTAGGGCAGCAAACTAGCGCATCTTTCTCAAACTGCCAATCTTTCCGTTCCCGGCTCAGTGCTTCCCCACAGGGATGCTAGGCACAAGGATCAGGGCAGTAGAAGTCAGGGGGGCCGGCTCTCGGAACCTGCACCCGAAGTGGAGCATAGACTAAGCTGTGGCACTGACCCAAGACACTACAAAAGTGGTTCCTTAGGTTTGTGTCCCCAGAGTTTTTCTACAGTACAAGGAAGGGCTAGTAAAGGAGGGCAGAGTGGCCAGTTCCGTAAAGGACAGAGACAGGACACCACCCGGAGAAACATAATCGAAGGGTCAGAGCAGTAATGAATGGGAATTAGTGATGTCCTGCTAATTGGGTCATCCACCTTGGAACCAAGACCCCCACCCTCGCTCCAAAACACAGGAAGTATTTGAAAATCGGCATGTTTGGGGGGCTCCAATCCTCAGCTACATCTGAGCAGTATGCCAGCCGCAGCTCCACAAGCTGCATGAACAGCCTGGTGGCGCCATTCTCCATCCATGTAATAAGGAACTTGGAATCAAAATAAATGACTCAACATTAAAATTCCCTTCCCTTGACCAGGCCACCCTTCCAGCTTATCTTAATTACATTTGAGCTAATGGAACATCCAATTTGTGGCTTCATCAAGGGTGATCACTCACCCATCTGCCCCTATTCCAGCCTATTCCTTTCCATTCATGCTGAGAGCCAAGTGAGGCTGCTGATGAGAGAGGATCAATAGTTCCTCAACTAAGAACTCAGTGAGGGCCTGAGGCCAGGTGGGCGCAGGAGGCCAGCAGCAGCCAAGAGAAAAACCTCCCGGGAGGAGAGAGAGGGAATGGGTGTTAGAGGCACTTCCCAGCCTGGGAGGAGAAAGACAAACCTCGGAAACAGCAAGGCAGTAGAGAAACCATGAGAAAGGAAATCTGAATTTTTCAAGTCATTGCTATTTCTCTTGGAACCCAGTTAAGAAAGGCAAGCAGGGCAAATGAACGCAGGACAAGCGGGGGGCTCTGCCCTTCTTCATCAGGAGAGCAGGGCAGTGTGCTTTGCCTTCACACCCGGCCATTTCCGAGCTGCGGCTGGCTCTCAGAGACTCTGCTGACGTCCTGACAACCGACTGTTGCTCTGCTGTTTGCTGGGAGGCACCACGTGGGAAGAGACAGGCCACCGTGGTGTTTTCCAGTCTGTGTGCCTGTTTGCTGGGAGGCGCCACGTGGGAAGAGACAGGCCACCGCGGTGGTTTTCTAGTCTGTGTGCCTGTTTGCTGGGAGGCGCCACGTGGGAAGAGACAGGCCACTGCGGTGGTTTTCTAGTCTGTGTGCCTGTTTGCTGGGCATGTCAGCAGGACGCTGGCGAGTGACTCACACGGAAATGGCCACCAGGGCGCCAGGAAGCCGCTGCTCACCTTTGGTTTGCAATGGCTCTTGGTCAGCAACAGTCCCTGTCTCAAGCCAGGTTAAAGGTCTCCCCTGCAGGCCGACCAGGACAGCAGAACGCCCTCGCACAAGCACATGTGCACACAGTTTGCACTGTGGGATGCCATGTAAATGTTGTGGCTGGCTGCACATCTAGTCTCAGTGCGGCACAAAGTTCCGGGACTGCCAATTCCAGAAACAAGATTCTGCAGGGTCGATGGATTAATAAAGGCTTGGCCGGCACTTGGCAATCCTGGTGTAACCTCACTGATCCTTTACGGCAGGAGAGCCAGCGTGGGGAAGCAAGTAAGTCAATGCCTCCACAAAGCATAAATAATAGCAGTGATTAAATTGTTGTTGTTCAAGTCTGAATCAAGCGAAATCTCTGTACTTCTAGGGGAAAGTATGACTGCCCCAAATAAAATTTAATGAAAATTTTAGGACGTGTGCTCTGATAATGAAACGGAACGGTCATTTAAATAATTCCACTGGAACATTTTCTTATAAAAAGAAAGTGTCATGCCCCACGCCACGGAGTCTCACACCAGCACTAGAGAGAGCCCGTGGCCTTCTCCGGAGCTCTGATTAAAGCAGGCTGAGGAGCAGCCTACCAGTCTATTTCTACTTCACTGTTTTTCTAACTGTACAAATGCACAATCTGTTTTCACTTGCTACAAGAGCCAAAGAGGGGGGCCTCGTAAGTCCTGCTACGCTTTACAGAGAGAGCCGCGGTGGGAAGAAGGCTCTCTCCTGCCAGCCTCCCTCCTGGGGGAAGCTGCGGCTCAGGACCAACTCTGCCGGAGCACGCTAGCCCTTCTCCGTCCTCAGAACCTCAGAGGCTTGTCTGGTGCAGGAATGTTCTGAAAAGGGCTTGGTCTTTGGATTCTTGTTAGAAGCAGACACAGTAAACTACCTTTCCGCGTCCCGAGGAAATGCTGGCTGTGTTACTGCACATCTGGGAGCTTTAAAAAAGTGTTTTCCTGGAATCATATAATCTGACTTTCTGTAATGTCTCTTGTATTGTGCTACTTTCTAAAAAAAAGTTTGGAGACATTATTACTATAAAAGACATTACAGAGAGTCAAATATTTTGAGGAAAATTGTAAATGATCAAAGGAAGCGTCACAAACCCCCAAGGCCATTTACACCGTAACGATGACACCAAGGGAGGTGCTGGCTCTTCTATTTTAAGACTAATTTAATAGTTCACTGTCTAGGCCAGTGTCTCCGATGTATTGCACTCCCTGCATATACAGTTACAAGGACGTTCAAAGGGTTCTTGCAGACAGACCACGCCCTGTGGCAGGGCTGGGTCTGGGACACAGACACCAGCTCCCAGAACCCGCCTTCCAGTGGGAGACACTGGGGCCCTCACAACAGGCCCCTTTGGGTTCACTTCCTTACCCGCTTCCGGGACTCTTCAATGGCCGACAGCAGAGCATTGTCCTTCTCATTCTTCAGGAAACCCTAGGGGTGGGGAGAAGACGACACACTCGGTTACAGTACTCTACGACAGAATAACCATGAGGGCACTTGCCCCTGCCACCTCCACAAAAACCTCTCGGCGGGGGAACAGTGAGGGAGAGGCTCCCGGCGGCTTTCATTCTGTCAGCACTGGACACCGGTCAAGTCCCTGGGACACAGTGGGTGGGGGTCCCAGATGCCGTGAACACTGCAAAGTGAAGCGGGTCAAAACCTGCCCAACAAAATCCCTACAGGGCCCACAGCGCCGGCTCTGGCTCTCCAGCCCGTCACAGTCCCTCTGCCTGCTCAGGAGTCCTTCCATTTCTCCCTAACAGCGAGTCTCCACCGCCACCTCCTTGCCTGGTGCTTTATACTTGTTTGTCAACGGCCAGAAAACCCTAAAACATTTTTTTAAATACACTTCTTGGATGGCTCGGTCAATGTACCCTGCCTGGTTCTGGCCTGATGACATCCACCACTAGCTTGTTAGAGGTGGGGCAACCAGGAGCCGGACCACAGGAAGTGTTTACCAGGCCTGCAAAATGCAAGTCCCCATCATACAACAGCCACAAGCACAGGCTCTGGCATGTGACAGACGTAGTTTCAAACCCAGGAGCCTCCATTTCCGAATGGCACAACGGCAGCCAAGTCATCCAGACTGTCCTTGCCTCAGTTTACTCATGTGTAAAGTGAGTATTAAATGGCATCATGTGGTCAAATTTTTGGCCCAAGGCACATTAACTGTAGGTCTTTTAACAGAACCCAGTCTATTCAGATCTACTGGTGACATTAAGACAAGAACTGGGGTGACTTCACTGTTGATGTTGCTTGAGCCGTGGTCAGATATTGTCCTCGCAATGTCCTGACACACAACCACAGCTGAAGACAGACGGCCAAGGGAGGTCAACACCCAGCCCTTTTCCCCAGCTGGAGCGTGGGAGCCAGGGAGGACAAGGACGTTGACCCATGAACTAGGTAGAGACCAAAGTCTTCATTGTAATATAGAAAAATTCAAGTTACTCTGCCCATCAGATCCACCGACATGCTATAACATATGAGACAGGGCGGATCAAACACCCTGCTGGTGCATTCACACATGTCTACATGAGCCCCCCACAGCCCCCAATTAATGCCCCCTCCTTAAATACTATTTGATTGTTTTTTATGTTTTTGAAACTTATTGACATAGTAACTTAACTAACACTTGGTCACAATTTGACAACTGCAATGTTTTTAATATATTTCATTCAAACAGTCCTAAACACAAGGCTTATGGCTTTAAAAGACGGAGCCCTGGTGGCACCGCGGGCAAAGTGCTGTCAATGGTTTAACCCCGCCCCCCCCCAGTGGTTCCACAAAAGATGAGGCTGTCTCTCCTATAAAAACTTAGTCTCAGAAGCCCTATAGAGGGTTGCTATGAGTCAGAATCAACTCGATGGCAGGGGGTTTGGGTTTGTTGGTTCTCAAAAAATAGGAGAGGAAAAATATAGGGGAGGGAGCAGAATAAGACTAGAAGGTAAACTCAAATAAAATAATGCAATTGTGGAAAATATGGAGCAATAGTCAGATACATCTGTTTGAAAGCACCCTTGCATATTGTAAAAAAAATGTAATCCCAAATTTCCTAAGGGATGACATTTCAGGTAAAGAAGAAGAAAAATGTATTGCTTGGGGCAGATTACTTTCTTCTTTAAAACAGTCATCACAAACCTACACACCCAAATCTTAGAGTCAAATGAAGCGCTTGAACTGAGAGTCAATGCTGGCATCACTCATATGAACAAAGGCCATTAACCATCAGGCATCTCAATACCCGGGCTGCAGCACAATAAATACCAGCCCACAAAATGCAGAGATTTTGAATTTTTCACCATGTTTACTTTCTAAAATGATATGCTAAAATAAGTTATACAAATTTTATTTCTCAGAACAGCAGCGCATCAGGGGCCTCTCGAAAAGAACCCGTGAGCGTTTGCACCATCCGAAAAGCAGTGCTGGGATGGGTGCGCCATCTAGTGGCAGTCCTTTCCTTTACACCAGGCCTGTCTCCCGAGGAACCACCCCCACTTCACCTGTGGCCAACGGTCCAGCACAGCACCACCAGGAACATCCAAAAGCAAACACACCCCTGGGATTGGAGGACTAAGGAGTAGCCAGACCCGGGCTTCCTACACACCTTCCTCCCTTCCCTTTGTCACAGCTGCGCTTCTTCGCAATTCCTTTTCAGGAACCTCGCTCAGGCCTCTCACCCTGGAAATAAACTTGTACAGCTTCTCAGAAAACAGTTTCCTAGAGAGGTGAGCTGGGCCGGAAGGAGTCTCACTGCATCTGCTTGACGGCGCTGATGAAGAACACTCAGAGCATGGGAGACTGCGAAAAGGACCAACCCAAGCACAGTCAGCGGGCTCCTTGCAGGCAAGCTCGGCGAGGCTTCCTCTCCCAGGCTTTGGGCATGTTGTCAGCAGAGACCCGTCCCTGGAGAAGGGCACCATGCTTGGTAAAAACTGTGGGGCAGTGAGGAAGAGGAGGGCAAGGCGAACTGACACAGTGTGCGCCAACCTGGGAACAATGACTGTGCGGGCGGTGAGGGCCGGGCGGTGTCTCTCCCTGTTGTACACACAGTCTCTATTAGAGGGAACTGACTCCAGGGCACCTAACCACAACCACCCCTCCTTGGGTGAGGCTCCCTGCCACTCTGAAGGTCCAAAGATCACCGCGGTTCAGCGCTGTCAGCCCCCGTCAGGACATCTCAGCTCGCCCACCAGCACTCACCAATTGCTCACAGCCACCCACTCTGGCCCTTCTCCTGCTGCGGCTGTATCCCATGGACATCACATCGGCAGGCTTCTTAGGCCAGTCTTCTCCATCTGCACCCCACCTCCTCACTGCCAGAGGCCTTGAAACAGGCCCTCTCCTGACGCCTCAAATGTATTTTTTTATTTTAAGCTTTCTATAACACAGTGTGCAATTAAGTGCCGTTTCCTAACGGCATCATTGCTGATCTTTTCACAACATGAACAGAAAATGATCGTGCTGCTCTGCAAGCACCCCCCACCCTCCTCCTCTACTCCACCTCATTCTATGAGAGAAACTGAAATTGCAGCCAACTAGCTGACCTGACCAAGGGTTCCCACCCAGGAGGCAGAAGCAGGATTCAGCAGCAGCTGTGGTTCTTAAGGAGTGTCACCATGTCTCCGAACAGAACTTGCCCCGTACAAGAGAGGAGCGTGCCCAGGGTCGATTCTGGGGGCTAAGGAATGCTTGTCTTGGCTAAGGGGCCACATTCCCTTGGCACATGTGCTCCCCAAAGGGGGAGGGGCTCTGAGAGGAAACGCCAGGTCTACTGAAGACGAGAGGAAAACCATGGATATCGACGCTCCCTACAACAGACAAGAGATTTGTGGGATAGGGACATAAACAGTTTGAATGGAAGAGCATATCTCCCCAAGTCTTTAAATAAATATATAATGAGAGACTAATGGCACCCACAAAGCAACTGCCATGTTTTACACAGCCCTTCAGCAGGCCGACCAACGGTAACCCAGCCAACGTTTACACGGAGGTCCCACAACAGGCTACTCTACCGGAAGTATCTGACACGACCCAAAACAGACCTCCTAAACCTTTTCTGTCGGCTTCCATTTGATGTGTGCAATATACACAAATTAAAAGGAAATGCAAACCAGCATTCCAAATTAAAAATGTGTGTGTGCGCGTGGGCACACGCGCATTTACACACACACACACACACACACACACGAATGGCAATAACAGTCTGAGCGGGTGAAGAAAACACCCCCAGGGCATAAGCAATAGCCGAGGAAGGCCCTGAAAGGAAAGGAAACACGAGGTCGCTCAAAGCACAAGCACAAAGGAACAAAAGCACTCCGCCCTTGACTCGAGGGGGCATCAAATGGAAAAGATATAATCCTTAGCTTCTGCTCTGACGGGTTAAAGACACCAAACAGATTTAAAATTTTAGAATAATCAATATGGAGGCTGCTCCGAGAGCAAGTGGGTGTTCCAAAGCAGGGTGGGCCTTCATGAGCGCTTTAGTTAATCTCAGGGAGACGCAGTTCTCAAAAGACATCCGTTCAGCTGTGTACTCTCCAACTCCAGTCTTTACCCCTTAGTTGCTTCTAAGCTTTCTTCCTAATTTCTCTGTTAGAACTGGTTTTGTTTTTCATTTAAACTTTTCATTTGGGTAAAAGCTAGCAGGGCAAATCGATTTTCCATTCCATAGTTCATGCACACTTTGTGGAAATCTCCTCCCGGGTGACACACCCGAGGTACAGCCCCCTGGAGGAAGGGCGGACTGAGTGCTGAGCTCGGAGGTGGCCCTTCAGCAGCTCCCTTCTGGGGAGGCTACCCTGGAAGTGCCTCTGGGCATAATTCCAAGACAAGGAGGTATGTATGCTCTTAAAGCCCAAGAGACACACGGGAAAACTTTAACTGGGAAATTATCATGAGTTGGGAACTTTCACATGGTTGTAGAGCATGTTTGACTATTTCCGTGGTTCAACATTTACTGCCACACGGTAAAAACACACAAAATGTTGGCTTAAAGGGCCCATGAGAGTGCCTACAAGGGCCAGCCGCTAACTAGCACGTCTAGGCTTTATTCAACTCAGATTTTAAGTCAGTCCCACAGCCTGTTTTCTGGAAAACATTTAATGCTTAGAATCCTTTACTCACAAAATGCATGAAAAATAAACGTGCCTGTGTCAGTGTACTATGTTTCTGTGTATATATGTGCGTATACACACATGGACACACACATGTGCACAGGTGAACGCATATGGATTCAAACCTACCCCTACAGAAGCAGAGCGAAGCTAGAAGAGCGGGCGCCCTGTAATTCACCTTTCATGCTGGCTCTGCTGCAGAAGCTAGCCCCTGCCGCTCCGCAGGGGCAGCAGACACTGCATGCGTGGCAGTGCAGTTCCGCCATTTGCCGGCTCAGCAGCTCCGTCAGCCTGCAGGCAGCTCAGGAGCCACAGGTG